TGACTCATTTACAAAAAATAAAAAGAAAAAGAAAAAGAAAAAAACCCATCCAAATTGAGAGACTACTTGTAGGCCTGTGGCTATTTAATTAAGGCTGGGAGCCTTTTATTGTTCAGTCATAAATATTAAAATGAGGACTGTACTTTTCAATTTGGTTTTAACATTTATGAGGCTGTTTCTCACGTTTTTTCAATAATAATGTGAAAAATTATACTGTAAAATGTTATTTAAAAAAATTATATAAAGTGTAATATTAGAGTATGAGAATATGCATAGCTAGTGAAAAAATTTGGCCGGGTTCATTGACCCGGGTTTCATGCACCAGAACCAACCCAAACCGACTCGATAAATTGGTTTCAAAATTTGGACTTTAAAATTTAAATTTGAAATCTTAAATTGATAGACTCAAACAATCACTTTGTTATAGTGGCCGTTGAATTTTGTCGTCGTTACATAATCAACAACAAGGATTGATAGATAGACTTGACGGGTCAACAGATTAAAAGGACCCGAACCAAACGATTTTTGAATCGAAACCACGAAACATCCGAATGGGCTTTATTATTACAAATCTGTAATCCATCGGGCGGGCCTGAAACGGGCCTTGACCAGGTCCACAAAATAAAGTCAACAGCATCTCATGAGAAATCTATACAAGTCACAAAGATATAACTGTAAAATAGACCATGTCTTTTTTGCATGCATCATAATTACAAAAATTTTACGACCATGTTTTTCTTTTGCATGCATCATAATTACAAAAATTGTTTGAACGGAGAGAAAAGGGTGCGGTCCCACCAGATGAAGCGCAGTGAGGTTTCATTCCAAAACCAATTAGTGATGGGAGGAGTAGCCCACTACGCATATATGCTAGGCCCATTTTTTCTATAGAATCAATGTGAGACAACTCACAAATGATATTGCAACAAACTCATGTACTACACGGGTGCTAGCTTGATAACAAAATTATATTTAAAATTAAATAATAATAACAACAAAAATGATTTAGTTTTTAAAATTTTTTTGGAAAAAATATATTACTATTTAAATTTAAAATGACAACGTCACTTACACGACTTACTATTCGTATATTATATTTTTTAACTTATATCAAATAACTACGTTGTAGTTAAGTTAATTTTAACAATTTTATTTTTTTGAATTAATATATAAAAGTAACTTAATTTTAATTATAGATATAAATAAAATTATTTAATTATTTTGTATGCATAGTATAAATGTCAAATCGAAACTCATCAAATTAGTTTGATATATTACATTTAAAACATTGTTAATAAATAAAAAAATTATTACCTTTTAAATATATTTATTATTTAAGTTAAAAATTTGTTATAACTATAAAAGAAATGTGAGAAAAAAAGAAAGATTGAGAAAAAAATTATACTTTATAAACCACGTCTACAATTAAAAATGATACTAAAACATAATTAATGCTCTTGAAAAGGACCATAAATATCCAATATATTTATGGATAGTCCAAACCTAGTTACTTTTTGATTGAAAATAAATTAAAATTAATCCAAGACAAACAATAAAGCTTAAAAATTTACCACATAAGATTTCGAAGTGTATGAGTCTGCCACTTAGGCTTGGCATATTCTGTAATTACTATAGGGGATAGTTTTCCAAGAGTCTATATGTTAATTAGTAATTAGTAATGTTATGTGTCAATTTATATTAATAGTAGTCAATGTACATCTGAACTTTTATGCATGACTATTGTAATTTTAAAAATACAGAACATTTTTTACTAACTTAATTGTAAATATATTATAAAAAATAATAATATTTTTACAATTTATTATTAAATTTAATATATATAATATATTAAGTTAATTATCTATTGATGAACTTTGACTTAACATTCATATGGTATATATAAAATAGATGATTAGTTATATTTATCTTTATAATAAAAAATAAACTATCTTTAAATATTAATTAAAAAAAATTAATATTTATCAATTAAATAAATCTATCAATAAAGTAATTATATGATATAAACTAAAAATCTATCTATTTATATATAATAACAATAGGGATTTACCTTAAATATAATCGAAATTTGGCTTAAAATTTTCATAGTTTCTATTTTTAGTATTTTTTTTAGTAAAATGGTGGCTACTTTCAAAATTCGATTTTTTTTGTCCTAAACGGTAGAGGTTTTTATAAATCAAAATGCACAAAAGTGTAAATATACAACTCTTAGTTGAATAAGACAACCAACAACTGAATAAACTAGAAGGACAGATCAGAAGACCGCCTAAATTCGACACTAGCAACGCTAGAAACCAAAATAAGACTCTGGACACTACCAAACTACAGACACCAAACAAAAACTAGAAAAACTACTAAAAAGATCCCAACAGGATAATGTCTGTGTGTACGATCCTACAGGATAATACGGTCACACTCGGGTTCACAAGAGTCAACGACCCAAACCAAAAACACGAGACGAAAACAAACTAAATCACCTAATCAACAAAAAACACATAGAAATAGAAATAAACACGAGCCCTTCCACAACAGTAATTCCATGCCGAACCAGCAGTCATCAAATCGACCCAATGAGACTCCCCCAGCCCAAGAAAACTGAAACCTCCTAGTTGAGTCGAATCCCAAGCATCAGAACATACCCAAAGCCAATTCGCCACGGACCCAGAAAAACACCAAGGTTGCACCCAGCCGCCACAATACCGAGCCGATTAACACCACTAGCGAACTCAGTACCATTGAAAAATCCGAGCCGAGCCTGCGAACGACAAGTCAATTCAACTCACCCCACAGCCGAAAAACAACCCAATTGCCCCCGACCCATCGATGCACCTAACACGGCTAACACCACTAGCCAGAATCGGCAACAACGGTGCACCCCCCGAACCCAAGACCTGAGAACGGGGGAAGAGGAGCAAAAAAGATGCAATCGCAGCCCCGCCATCGCCGGCAAAAGCCGCGAGCTGCCGGAACCACACCCAACCCACAGAACCACATCCCGCCCAGCACCACCGCAGCAAGAAGGGTCGACGACCCTAAACAGAAGCCGGAATTTGCCAGAGAAAGTAGCGTCGACCACCGGCGCAGATCCATCCCTACTGTTGCGAAGGAGCGAGAAGAGACACGACCTCGAGTTGAGGGCCAAGCGGCCAGGAGCCGACAGCCGGCGGAGCCCGTCAGCCACTGTGGAAGGCGAAGATCAGGCGCAGTGGCGAGCTAGAGGAAAAGGGGAAACGGGCCAAATTTCGAATTATAATTTAAAAAATTTGTTATTTGAGAAATATATTGTGTTAAATGTACTTCCTAAAAACATAGCCAATTATTTCTGTAAATTGGAGATCCGATTTTAAGTAATTTTTGTCAATATATTCAAAATCATTTTCATATCCAATTTGACATCCTATTTATACATAGTTTAAAAATTCAATATCCTTAAAATTCACTAAATTTACTTCGACGATTGTATATAGTTTAAGAATCCAATTTCATTACAATGACAACATAATTAACAAACACACGATTTATTTCATAAAATTTAAATTATTTATTGTACACCTACTACATTCATAGCATCAAAATAATATGTATTATTTAGAAAGAATCCTATATTTTAAGATGTTTTTAGAGTAACTTGATGATTCTATATACTTTAATCAACCGATCTCCTTATATAATAACATTATTAACCAAACACACGCTTTATTTATAAAAACAATTGGATTCATTATATATCTAACATCGTGAATAATATATCATCACACGCTAAATGATATATAAAATTCATCAACCATAACAAAAATAATATATGAAAAATATAGATGTTAAAATATTATTTATTACTATAAACTTTTAGCAAACTAATATATTGATAAGATAAAGTTTTAAAAAAAGGTTTTAAGAAACAAGTCCGTCGTGCATCGCACGAGATACTCACTAGTTTTCTTAACCACCACCAACCCCATACTACACAGTATATTGTACCAGATAATAATACGACCGAAGAAATGTTAATCAACACCTAACAAACAAACCTTTTTCTAGTCAAGATTTCAAAAGTCCTAAAATTGAAAGAAAAGAAAAAGAAAAATAAAATAGTAGTAATATTCAGTGTTTTTCAACCCAGACTGACCCGGACCCGAAACCGGCCCGGGTGGACTATTCGGACAGGGCAACAAAGGAACCGGTCAAAACCCGGTCGACCCGGGGCATTGACCCGACTGGGTCAACCCGCTTAACCCAACCCCTATATATATATTTTAAATATTTTTTGTTTTTAAAAAATAAAACTATGTATATATATTTATATGGTAAATAATTATCATGAAATACATATTATTAACATTTTAATGTACAAATTTTATATACAAAACATTTAATTATGTTACTTTTATGTATATTTATATGACAAAATATTTATATATATATAATTTAAAACAAAAACTAATATTAATTATCCGGTTTAACAATTAACTCGGTGACCCCGTGACCCTGGGACTCGGTGACCTACCCGAGTTTAAAAACTATGGTAATATTACAATATCAACAACAATAATAATAATAATCCAGCTTTAGCATTTTTATTTTACAACTTTTCAATCTTGACCAAGAATCAGACTCTTACATATACAATAATGATAGATTTAAATTAAAATCAAAGCATATTCAAAGGACAATCATATTCTCTTTTAAATCTAAATATATTGAAAATAATAATAATAAAATCCAGCTTTAGCCTTTTTCTTTTACATTTCTACAATCTTCACCAACAAATATACAATCAGACTCTTACATATACAATAATGATAGATTTCACTAAAATCTACACATTTAAAAAAGACAATCATATATACTCTTTATTAAATCTAAATACATTAATAACTTTTTCCTATCTATATAAATGCTACAACCCTCATACCCCAAATTCATCCCCTTCATTAGTTTCACACAATACAACACTCCC